CCCGATTTATTCGTCAATCGTCATGCGGCGATTGATCAACTTATTTCCTTTCACATTAGTTGCCAAATTTAAGAATTCGAATTATTCGTCAATTGTCTTGGGACAATTGACGATTTATTTTTTTCGAATTAGTTGCCGATTTTCTCACTCGATTTATTCGTCAATTGCCGGGGGGCGATTGATTAAATTATTTGTCTCCGGATTAGTTGCCAACTTTAATACCCAAATTATTCGGTCAATCGAAATGTTAGTCGATTTAATTGCGTCAATTTTTCGCCCAACTCTGCTTCCGAGGCTCTAATACATGCCAATCTAATGTTTTCCAATTTCATCAAAAATTAAATCTTCAGCAACGCTGTTGCTTAACCTACAAGTTAAAGGGGCAACATGCACCATTGCATAACCAACAAATTGAAGGGGCAACAAACAGAATTTCATTACCCGTAGATTGAGGATGTAATGCGTAATACCTCATATTATTTTAATTCCATAACCCAAAAAATGGAGGGGCAATATACAATACTGTTTACAGCGTTGGCACATTGGCCAATACCCACCCCACAACACGGTAATTTAAGTCACATTTTGTCTGCACAATTTGGCTAAAAATTTTAGCCCTCAAATTCCCATTTCGGTATTTTTATCTTCTTCAATATGACCACTCTCCGTTTTTTTTAAAGATTTTTGAGGTTTGTAATCCATTTGAGGATTGTGGAATCTTGAATGGGCCTCGAGTTAAGGTTAGTAAACACCCATGTTCCAGGCGTTCAAATTTTCCGGGATTTCATGCTGAGACAAAGCGTTCTCACAAGAGAAAGAAACCACTCAAAACCCGAATCTAAAACAAAAAAGAAAAACACGATTGAAGATGTCCATCAACTTCAGAAATATCAGAATCATCTCACCAAAGTAGTAGCATCAAAACAAAACTTGAATCGAGAGGAAAGACGAGAAAGATGTTGTTATGTTCGAACATAAGATGAAAATGAATCAACGCACTTTAAGGAATTATAGATTTATTCATTGTTACTCACGAACAAGCCATTCCGGCTGCAGCTGATGATAGATAACCGATAACAGATAGATGACCTAAAATGGATAACCTTCACCTTGCGCATGCGCACTATCCTCTCAGGTGCGGCATTACAGTGATTGCCAACCTGACTGCACTAATACTATATTTCACTATTACAACAACTCCCTTTTTTTTCTTCTTTTTTTTAACACAGTTTAAACATACAATTTTTTTTTAATTTCTTTACTTATTTACATAATCCTTAAGATAATTTGGAGGTTTTCTAATTATTTGCTCTTCTATAATTATTTTGCCTCGCATTAAACCTCTACCTCGCGATTTTACATGATCCTTTCTGGAATCTTGGAAATTTACATTTGAACTTTGAGCAACTGGACTTTGATAATCTGAACTAATGCTTTCTTGTTGATCATTATTAGAATTTCGATCAATTTGAGAAGTACTTGGACTTCCAAACAAAAATTGGATACCTTCTTCTGACTCATTTTCTAAAGCCTTTGATTTTTGTACTTCTGCTGTTTTTTCCACTACGATGCAGCTATCCTCATTGTCCTCTGTTTGAGGTTTTTTCAAGATTTTATTACCACTATTTAGATTATTTTCTAGGTTTGATAAATAATCGGTTTCTCCTGTATTGCTTTCCATTTTTACTTTCTATTACATAAGATCGGGGTTGTTGACATGTTTTAACAATTTTGTCAGGTTCCCAAGCACCTTTCCATAGTTTTTTAAAGAATACCTGGTCTTCTGCTTGGAATTCTGATAATTCTCCATGACCTGTGTGATATTTTAGTGTATTTTCCGAAGGAAGGATACACTATTGCGTTCTCCCTCATGGTGGGACCTAGACCTGGGACCATGTAAAGAGCACCAATCTCGAGTCGTAGATCACGAATATATATGTCATTCATTTTCTGTCATATATATATATATGTATGTATTTCAGCCAGCGTGAGGATTTTTCAGTTTTCAGAGCGTTGAGCGGCAGTTAATTTTTAGGTCTCTTGAAACGAAACTTCTGGGGTTTATAGTCCCCTAAGAGTGCTTTTAAACTGTGAAGAAAAAATCGGAATACGTTAATTACTTTTCGCACAGCGAAGGGTCAAAGTGGGGGGAGGTTTAATTTTGTCCACGCGATAACTCGAGAAAAATGAATATTTTGAGCTGAAATTTTGATGTTAGTTAGATATCTACTTAGACTGGTTTCCTATTGAATTTCAGCGAAATCGGCCAACGCGTTTCATAATATTGGCAATTTACCGTTTTTACGGGTGAGGGGGAGGGGGTAGGAGTTGCGCAGCCAAGGGGAACTGTTTCTTGAAACGTATCTGTGGCAAGAGGGGTAGGGTAAATGATTTCATTCCCCAATGTGACACTACCCTTCGGAAAATACACTCATGCCGCGGTAAATGCGCGGACTACATAGGCTGTCCCAAAACAACTGAGAGTAAGTCTGTATTTCAGAAACAACAATAGATATTGAAACGCGGTTTGCGAGGGGTTGTAGCTCATATCCTTAGCTATCCAACGAGCCCAAGATTAGCTCATTTGGTCAAAATTTCGCTGAGTTACAGCAATTTTCCGGAGCCGTGTAAAAAATAACCCTACAGGATTTTTGAGTATTTTATTCCTTGTCTGAACTGTTGTGAGTGCTTTCATTGCATATCAGAGTTTTCTTCAACTTCCCAGCTCAGTGAAGCCACCATTGTCTAGCGTTAATGACACGTGTTCTCGTTTAGTGCAATGAGTTCGCCCGCGGAGCTGAAACAAGAGCAACGCTATGCCATCTGTTACTGTGTTCGCCGAGGTTTAACTGCTTCTGATACCGTGAAAGAGATGTTAGTTGCTTATGGAGAAAATTGACTTGGGGAGAGCACCATTTATCGGTGGCATGCAGCTTTTTCCGAGGGTCGCGAGTCGGTGGCTTTGATTCCGCATGGCGGGCGGCCCTCAACTTCTGCGGCGGAGGAAAGTGTCATTAACGATAGACAATGTTGGCTTCACTGAGCTGGGAAGTTGAAGAAAACTCTCATGTGCAATGAAAGCACATGCAAACATGTTAGTACTTACATCTAGACCAGTGCCAACGTGATCCGCAAAATTGCGATCAACTGCACAACTCTCGGAACAACAGTTCAGACAAGGAAAAAAATACTCAAAAATCCTGTAGGGTGTATTTTTTACACGGCCCCGCTGTAACTCAGCGAAATTTTGACCAAATGAGCGAATCATGGGTTCGTTAGATAGCTAAGGATATGAGGTACAACCCCCCGCAAACCGCGTTTCAATATCTATTATTGTTTCTGAAATACAGATTTACACTCAGTTGTTTTGGGACAGCCTATGTACAAAAAGAATCGTCCCCTACTTGCCGGCAACCCCACGGAAAAACCCTGCCGCTTGTGGCAGGGTTTTTTTCATTTGCTCTACCTGTTCAGTTTTCAAGTTATGAAATGTCACGTATGGGACTGCTTGTGATTTTAGCCTAGATTTATCAACATACATTTTTGTTCTTAGATTACGCGACTTTAACAGTTTCGCAGGGGAAGGCATTTTGCCTTTAGCTGAATTTCTAAAATTTAACAAAGCTATGTGAGGATCTTGCTTTGATTCTACACATTTCTTTAACATTTTCTTCAGGGTTTGAATTGTTCTTTCAACTAAACCATTGGATTGAGCATACTGAGGGCTGGAAGTTTCAGATTTTATTAATCATAGATTACAAAATTTAATAAATTCCATAGAATTAAATGGAGGCCCATTTTCAGAAAAAATAATTTCGGGAATTCCATTCCAAGCAAATATAGATTTTACCTGTGTTATGAGGCTACTGGCCTTGGTATTACTGATTTTTGCTATTTCTGGATATTGAGAACAGTAATCCACTATCACTATGTACAGATCTTTGTTGAATTCCATATAATCCATGCCTACTTTTTGATAAGGATAATCTGCAATTTTGTGGGGAAGCAGGCTTTCTCGCTTATTGTTGTTCTGAAACATATTACAGATATTACAATTTTGTAATTTTTCTTTAATTTCTTTTGACACGTTCGGCCAGAAAATTAGACCTCGGGCTTGATTCAGTGATCGCTGTATACCAAAGTGACCTTCATGCACAATTTCTAGCATTTTCTTTCTTAATTCAGATGGAATTACTACTGCTAAGTTTTTATGGAGAATAGCATTATGGAATGACAGTTCATCTCTACAGTAAAAATAGTGCTTTAGCTCACCTTCCACTTTATCTGGCCACTCTGATCTACAGAAATCATTTACTTGCAAGAAAATTGAGTCATTATCATACATTGATCTTATTTCATCTATTTTTTCCTTTAACATAGCAAAATTTTTTGTTATTAGACTTGTGTGTAAATTAGTTTCACGCTCAATTTCTTCCATAATTTCAGCTCTATTAATTACAGCTCTTGAAAGGGTGTCTGATACATACATTTGTTTTCCAGGTACATGTTTTACTTGAATGTTACAGCGCAACAATTTTAGTCGAATTCTTTGTAGAGTTATGGGACATTTACTAATTTCTCTTTTTAACAATGTAATTAATGGCTTATGGTCTGTTTCTACAGTAACTTTCGACATAAACAAATAGTCATGAAACTTTGTACAACCAAATAAAATACCTAAGCATTCTTTTTCAATTTGTCCTGCTTCACTTTGAGCTTGTGTTAGTGTTGAAGATGCACATGCGATTGGAATGTTATTTTGCATTAATACTGCTCCTACAGCGTCTTTTGAGGCATCAACATTGAGCGTTTTAGGTAAATTTACATCGTAGTACGCTAGCACCGGAGCTTTCGTTATTAAATCTTTAACTTTATCAAATTCTTCCTGATGTATTTTTTCGCACTTAAAATGAACTGTTTTCTTGAGCAATTTATGCAAATTTGGGATTTCTAATTGAAGATTTTTAACAAAACTGGCAATATAATTTATCATCCCTAAAAACCGTTGCAGCTGTTTTAGTGTTCTGGGAGGTTTTAAGTTTTGGATTGCTTCAATTCTTTTGGGATCGACTTTGGCGCCACTTTTTTACCAAACATGACCTAAAAAATCTAAACTGGGTTTTGCAAATTAACATTTTTTCAAATTAAATTTAAGACCTAGCTCCTCTGCTCTCTTGAGCACTCTTTTGAGGGTCTCATCATGTGTATTCTTATCTCCATAAATAAAAAAATCATCAATATAAATAATCAGATTTGGAATGTCTCCGAATAATTCATACATTTTGCTTTGGAACATTTCACTTGCACAAGTAAGACCATAGGCAAGCCTCAAAAATTTGAGTCTCCCAAATGGAGTGGCAAAGGTTGTAAGTTTAGAGCTTTCTTCTAGGGAGAAGAGAATTCTAGGGCCCAAAAGGCTGATTTCGCATCCAACGTTGTGAATACAGTTGAATTTTTTAATTTTGCTTTAACATCATCTAATGTTGGAATATAGTGTTTTGGCGTTATAATTTCTTTATTTAAGGCATGAGGATCTGAGCAGATTCTTACTTCTCCATTCGGTTTTGACACCATTACAATAGGATTTACCCACTCAGTAGGCTCCGTTACTCTTTCAATTACTCCTAATTGCATCATCCTTTGCAGTTCTTTCCAAACTCTCCTACGCAATTTATAGGGAATTTTTCTCGGCGGCTCAGCTGTCGGCTTCGCACTATCATTTATTTTTATTTTACACTTGCAATTTTTTATGCGACCTATTCCTTTAAACACTTCAAATTAATGAACTATTGATTTATATTCATCCGCAATTACATTAACTTCCTGCAGTACACCTGATTGCTTACAAGTTTTATAACCTAATATTGGGGGTGTATTAATTTCCGCCACAATAAATTTAATTACATGGGCTTTGCCCGATTGCTCATTAACACATTTGAGATTGCACTCACCAACGACTTGCATTTTTTCTCCAGTAACTGAAGTTAATTTGACATTGGTTTTAAGAATAGGTCTTTTGCCTTTTTTTCTTTTACTTAAATTAGCAGGGATTACATTCGCTTGGGCACCTGTATCAACTAAAAAAGTTGTATAGTAGTCATTGACATTCACAATTACATACCACAGATCGTCCTCCTGCTTGGATTCAATCGCACCAATGAATACCTCAGGACCATCATCTTCCGAATAGTAATCATCGCTATCAGTCGACTCCTCATCCACCAGTCTCACTTTTCGCTCAGCATCCTTGCAAACTCTTGAGAAGTGATTTGACCCATTGCAATTGTCACATTTTCTCCCAATGGCAGGGCACCTTCCAGAAATAACCACATTTAACTTAATTTCTAACTTTAAAACTAAAATAAAATTTATAATTAGGTTTTAGCTACTTATAGTAAATATAAAACATATTTGTTCTTAGTTAAATTTGGCAAAATAAATTTAAACAACAGTTTAATTTTAACATTAGTTTGGTATTTCCACAGTTTTTGCACCTACTGTAGTTTCCCGTCCTTCTCGAGTCATCGGCTTGCACCTTAGAAGAACCGTACCGCCAATTTGATTGTCCCTTGTGCTTCGGACCACTTGCATACTGCTTTGCACTGTTGGTAGTTCTTCGATGACTGCGCTGCTCTGCACTTTGCCTTGCATTATCTTGATAACGTCTGTTGATCTCTCCAACTACAGGTTGATTGGCATTCATTTCTTGCACCTGACGTCTTGATGCATCAAACGTTTTGATGGCATTCTCCAACGTCTTATCCTGCTTCATCAATACTTGGATTCTCACCTCTTCAAACTTCGGCATCAAATTTGCAATCATAATCGCTTTGACAATTTTATCCCTTTGATTGTCTAGGTTACAGGCCAGGCTTAAATTCTTCAAATTAGTGACAAACTCGTCCAATGTCTCATCTTCTTTTTTTCTGGTTATTAATTTGTATAAAGCCATTTCCACATTCTTTTCTGACTTGAAGTGTGCATCAAACAGTTCTATGAGTTGCTTATGTGTGAGTTCGTCGTACTTCTTATTGAACGATGCATATATGCTGTATGCGTTATCCCCAAGAAATTGTAATAGCAAACAATTTCTTCTTGTGCCTGACTCTCCGTCACACGTCGTTTCACACATTAAGATTTCAAATTTTGCCTTCCAAACCTCCCAGCGTTCCGCCTGTTCGCTCCAGCCACAATCTCCAACGGCTTCATCTTGGCAGATATTGCTTCGGTTGATCCAAGGGATGCTGCTCCTCCACCGGTCTCACCATTTGCACTTGTATTTGGCATTGCTCTTGTTTGGTGTTGGCACACGATTCTTGAAACTTTGCAGGATTTGATTGATGGCACAATCTTAGGCTTCGATGGTCGTCACTGGCACATGGCAGTTGCACTCGCGACTTACGATTTTTCCGTAACCGTACTTACTTTAGCGATCGCGGAAAACCATCGGTTTTCGGCACCAAGTTATGTTCGATAAGATGAAAATGAATCAACGCACTTTACGGAATTATAGATTTATTCATCGTTACTCACGAACAAGCCATTCTAGCTGCAGCTGATGATAAAAAACCGATAACAGATGGATGACCTAAATTGGATAACCTTCACCTTGCGCATGCGCACTATCCTCTCAGGTGTGGCATTGCAGTGATCGCCAACCTGACTGCACTAATACTATACATTCACTATTACAACAGATGTCATGTCACCAAACAAACGCGGGATCTTCGAGGAGTTGCATAGACCTGTCGGGCAGAACTATCCGCGTCAGAAAGTACGGATTCTCGGATTGTCTCTTTAAAAACGACATGCTTGCCGAATACCGCTCACGCGAGGGCTCACCGAGACGAACGAAAACGTGCTGGGACGTTGCAATGTGGCCCAAATACTCTTCATAGCTCCTAGTATCACCTCCTAGCGACGGAACTTGGGAATTTTCAAGGGTTGTCAAGTTACCTCATAATTCCGTTTTTTGTCCCTTCTCGTATGCTTATGGATTTAAAAAAGGAAAAGACTAACCTCTTTTTCTTTCAATGCTGCAATTGCTACCTTCCTAATCTGATTGCGGAATGCCACTGAGGTAGAGACGACATCCTCCATTAGATTTAGGGAGCTCTTCGAGACCTGGAATTAAAAGCCAACCTATCATTTCACCAGAACAATACCTTGTGCCTGATCTTAATGATCAGCAATATTTCTCGAGAGCAATACTCCTGCTTAACCTACATAATGGAGTTACTGCCAGATTATTGTAATTTTCAGAAAATACATATCTTGCGCGGTAAAAGAACCATAGACGTACCTACGTCATTTTGCTAAAGGGGCCTGGCACCCCTACAGAGCCCCCTTCAGAGGAGGATCCGGAAGACCTCCCCCAGGAAATTTTTGAAATTTTAAACCTGTTGAGACGCATTTTCAGGCTTCCGTGACATCCATTTTAAATCAGTCTCTGCAGAAAAATAAGGTTTTTTTTTTTTTACTTTCAGCAAATAATACTTTCGAATTGTTGAATTCAATAGATCCAGAAGATTGTTGCGTTTTCAATTAAGACTCTATGTTAAGAGAGAAAATCATCCTCCATGAAGGCTTTTCCCCGTCATCCAGAATTTCTGGGGGGGGGGGGCGG